TATGATATATCATAAAAAAGGTCTCTAATAGGCCTTTAAAATAAGCCACCACTCACCTTTCTACTTTTAATAGTTTACGAGATATCGCTATTTTTGTAAGTACTTGCAAGACCCAAATTTATCGGAATTTTTTGATTTTCAAAAATCAATAAAACAAAAGCCACCTATTGAAAAAAAAATCATATATGGGATTTTTGAGTTTTTTAGTGAGGTAAACAAATTTACCAAAAATTATCAAAATCGGAGATGGTGGGGGAAGAACCTTTGGTTGATTTGATATGGACTGACCCATACTTTACAAATTATCTCTAAAACAAATCATTTTATCAAAATTTTATAAGAGACAAATTTTTTTTAACAATAAATGATTAACTGAAAAAATACCGTTTGGAAGTCATTGGCGCTCGTACTAAAAAATAGGGGGAGTCAGTGAGTACTGGACCCCCCTATTTTGATTATTTGACAATTGTTTTTTGTTTTGTTGGTCTCCAAAAATGTAACTATTTATGTTGAAGTAGTGTACCGAATTTAAACTTAATATCTTATCAATTACTCGAATTATTAAAAAAAATCAGTTTTAAATTTCAAACTTTGTCGCCCTGTATATCGAACATGAAGCTCTAAATTGAAAAATGGTATTATGAAAGTCTTATTGTTTTAACTCAAGGAATATATGGTTAACGGATTGACCTCCTTTTCCCGGACACCCTGTATATTGAATATGATAATAACATATTATGACAATTTTTTTATATTTTTTAATACTCCTTGAAAGAGCTTCCTCAGTAAATTTTGAGATTTTTTTGATCACTTCGTAAAAAATGGTCCAAATGAAGATGTTCATTCATTTTAAAAACGTGTCTTCTTCGATTTTCGCGAAAAATTTTTTTTTTTTAATTTTGAAAAATCACGAAGTTAGGCAACCAACTGCACAGACTCTAACGGCGGCCGTTTTATGTTGTTAACAATTATTTTGCTTCGGGTTTGTGCTGTTTATGCAGATTAATAATCGTTTTAAACGTTGTGTTTCTTGTGGGTGTGGTAAATTTGTGGGTTATGGTGAATTAACTTTAAAATTGACATTTGACAGTTTGATGAAATCCCTGATAGAATAAGGTTTATTTTTTACAAAAGAGAAGAATAGTTATTTGTTTTACAAGTGTTGAAAAGCGACTAAGTTGTTCACGAGGCCGTAAGGCCGAGTGTGCATTAACACGAGCTTAAAGAAAGCTTTTTTACAAGTAAAACACAATGTTTTTTCTACGACCATTTTATTTTTTATTATATTCAAATACAAAACAAAATAATCTAAAAACGTGTTTGACAGCTGTTAAAATTACTTTCATCTTATTTTTTTTTATTTTTAATTACCTTCTCAATTTAAATAAAGGCAGTAAAAATTAGAATTTATTATTACACAATACAATACAAATTTTGAAACGAATGTCAAACGATGCTGTCAATTTCTTTTCACACAGACCTGTCACTTTTCACACAGAAATGTCACTTTGACAAACGATGCCAATACGAAATGTGACTTTTACATACTGGTTGTAGAAAAAAATAGTTGTCCTTAGGCCTCATTTGATGCCTACAAGTGCCTCTGTAAGAAACACAATGTTTAAAATGATTTTTAGTCTGGGTTGCCTAACTTGATTTTTAGTATGCGCGAAACGAGATAGAACAGACGTTGTCCCGCCCGTCACAATTAAAAATTGTGAGTAAAAACTACACGTTATAAAATTTATTTTAAAATATTGTTTTATTATGCTTTTAATAAGTTATAAGCACAATAAAAATAATATTTTAAAATATTAATTTTATAATTTGCGGTTTTTACTCACAATTTTTAATTGTGACGGGCGGAGTTATAAAGGCTTTGTTATATATGGGCGTGTGTGGTGCATTCACTAAAAATACAAGATATTTTCCAAAAAGACACGCGATGTTATTTTTTTAACAATTCCCGATACGAAGACCAACATCAAGAGTGTTTCCCGTGGTATCTCTTATCTATTAATTACATATAGAAATATGTTCGACTACGACCAGCGAATGTTAAAGACGATTATTTTTTTATTACCTAACGTAAGGTAAATGTACGTCTAGAAATACATTTTTTGGGAAAATGCCCTCTATTGTTGCTGAACCCGGCGGCGTATACAGGCATTTCTTCCGGCGAAGTTTTGTTGAAACGGCTAGGAGGATGAAAGCGAGTTTGGAATATGCAATTCAAAATGTGTTTTAGACTATACTTTTTCTACATATCCAAAAAATACCATAGAAAAATAATTTTATTGGGAGAAAGTGAGGTTGGATCGGTCTAAAAGTTGTTAGATAATAAACACAGAGATGGCGCCAGCAGTGTTTATTCCATTAACGAATTTATGTAATTCCACATTAAAAAGTGATTTTGAAACGGTCATATTCAGTAGAAAAAAGAATTTTGTGAAAAAGCAATGAATGTGATATCTATTTACTGTAGACATAAAACTGTTGTTTAAACACTTAATAAATAAAATGTAAAAGTGATCTTTTCACTCGAGCGAAATATGCCGTATTCCAAAATATACTATTACTGTAGACATAAAACTCTTGTTTTGACACTTAATAAATATAATGTAAAAGTAAAAAATTAACGATAGGCATTTTGCCTAGAATCCGGTCTCTAGTGTTGATTTTTGACAAAAACTTTTATAAAATACATTTATCAACCATGTCTTCCAAGGCTATTAGATGTTGAGGTAGTAACAAATTTCACCAGTGGCGTTCAACAGAACTGAGTGGCCCCCTGCAAAAGAGAGTTTTGAATGGGGGTGGACCATCCGTCAATGTGGGCCCCCGTGGTTCGAGGTCTGCTTGACATTTTTCAGATAAAATATCAAATAAAATTGGCTTTGTTCAAAAGAGAAAATTCCACTTGCATACTCCACGCTCAAAAACCTTGTTCTAGTCGCACAATATAGGTACTATTGTCCTCCTGAAAACTAACAAAACTCTCGGCAGGCTGATTTCGGTTAGTAGGTTGCCAAACGGTAACCAGGGTAACATAACGCGGGCCGGCTGGGGCAAGCCGAACCGCTTGTGCCGCGGCATGCCGTATTTCAACCAACTTTGTTACAAAAGTGATATACGACCCATACAGCACAGTACATCCCATGGACGTCCATTAATGGTCCATTTTACGTACGTACGTCCATAGACCTAAAATGGACGTCCCAGGGATCTTCATTAGGTTACGTCCAATGGACATAGTAGTAAATACATCCATAATACGTCTAATAATGGACGTATTCATTTTTGATCAGAAAGTATCCATTTAACGTCCAGCAATGTCAGGGCCGTATCTAGACTAAAATTTCGGGGGGTTTAGACCAGTGGCATTTGAAAATTTTTTTAAAGGTTTAAAATAAACCTATTATGTTTAAATGGGTTCTATGTTGTAGTTGACTTGAACCCATAGTATTATATATCATTAAAATCAGAAAAAAATATCATTTAAATGAAATCAGAGCCAACTATGGTTTCTATTGAAAAAACTTTGGGTCATATCTCTTAACCTAAAAGAGCTAATCTGTCTACGCCAATGAATTTTGTGATAAAAAGTGCCTCTACAATGTATTATTCCTGTATTCGTAACTCAAATATTAACAGAGCTATAAGAATTTGGCAAAAATTGAAAAATAGGTTATATCTCCTAAACAAATGCAAATCTAGAAAATTCAAAGACATCATTCAATGTATCTTTAAAAAAGGGGACGGGGATGCGTGGTCGAATTTTTTCTAGCATTTATATTTACTGAGATAGCCTATACGGGACAACCAATTTTGGACACCCTGTACAGTATTTGGTGGAACATAGTACCTATCTGTAATACAAATAAAAAATTGCAATGTATGTTTTAAAAAAAACGAGTTAAAACAGTATACCAAGTATATAGGTACTGTTTTAACACGTTTATTACCTAATGTTAAATTAGGGGCTTTATAGCAAGCTCTAAATTTAAATGTTTAAATATTGTTATTTATAGTTATAAACAGTTTATTGAAATTAAGGACTTTTTATTTAACCTACCTGCTGCAGTGAAATAAGCACGTCCATTGCTTACATTAAATGTACGTCCGTAAGTAACATCTAATGGACGTCCAAAACTGTGACAAAGCGACCTTAAATGGACATCCGTAGGACGTCCGATGTATGTCGATGGACGTTCAATGAACGTCCACAAGTACAAAAATTAACGTAATATGGACGTCCTTTGTACGTCTTTGTGCTGTATGGGGAGTCGTATAATACGACATTTTCCAGTAGGTAATACCTACCTACCATATAATATGTAGGTATTGATAATACCATATAGGTAATAGGTATGAATTAATCAACAATTATGTATGTATTATTTTGGCTTACACAGCGTTTTCGTGTTTTTAGACTTAAAATTAATAATTTAAAAATAAATTTAATAACTTAAAAAATTTAAAATTTTGTATGCTTAAAATTACCTCATCTCAATCTCAATACGACGAGCCCCAAACCACCGGGCCTCGACTTAAGGACCGAGGTAGCCATAGTAAACATAAATATTTTAAATGAACCTAAACATAAGAATTCAAAAAAAATCTCTACTCTTTCTTTAACATTACCCAACCTACAAGTAAGTAGGTCGGTAAATAAGGGCCTATTATAAAAACTATAGGTAGGTACTTTTTTACAATATAATATTATATGTTTACTTGTTTTTTTGTAATTATTGCAGCAATATTAATTATTGAATAGTCTAGGATAATTTAAATATTAATAAAGATATAATCACAAGTCTAAATTTAAATCATTTGAAATCCTACCAAAGAACATAAATTAATTTTAGTACCTGAATGGTTACGGTACCGTACCTTTACTATAAACATGCTTGATATTATTATAGAGTATAGTTTAACACATTTTCCCCTTTTGTCAACCAGTTCTTAATAATTTACTTAATAAAAAAAATGTTACATACCTCTTGCATAGGTTATCAGCATCCTTCTTTACAACTAAAGATAAACTTGCCGTACACTGCACATTTTACTTTGTAAAAACTGCAAAATAGATGAATTACGCTGTATAACTATAAACTATATTACATTTTATATATCACAATTAAAACTGCAGATATGTTTTATGCACCAAAACTGCAGAAAACAGTTTCTGACAAGCCTCAGTGCATTTTACATTCTCCTTTTAATTTACCTGTAAGTTCTACCGCATCGACGTAGCAGTTACGTCTTTTCGCAGCACCTCCACTAAGAACACTAGTGCTGGTGTATTTAGTAAATACTATTTACCCCAAACAATTTATTTTTGGACACCATTTGTGCTTGGTTAACAACTTATTCTTAAAATACAACACACAAAACATTTATTTCAAGAACTAATTGCATAGACATTGTCAATAGGCAAATTGACGGCCAAAGTCTAAAATATAAAAAATTAGCTTTTTCTGTTTACGTATCATAATGAGCTCATTTGCGTGCGAGAATGTGTAAGTTTCTCGCACGCAAATCTTGGGGGATTTTTATATTATAAATTTGGCAATTCTAATTTCCAAGATGCAGGAGTAATTTAATTATTAAGTCCGCAAATAAGAGCCCACTGTTTCTGCTCTAGGAAATTTGTCTAACTTTGTCTAATTAAAAATATATTTGTATGAATTTTACCAGTTAATTTAAACTTTAAAGGTTTTAACTTTCTTTTTTTTTACTTTTTATACAGTCTTTCTTGTAAATTTACTTAGAATAGTAATGATATTTTGAAATGTAAAATAAAACATATTATGTAAAGTAATGCCGGTTTTACACCAAACCGACTAGTTGAGTTGCTGTTTTGTTGCTGTTTTAAAAAACAAAAACTCAACTGTTTTTAACGATAAAACTGTTCACACTAAACAGACAAAAATTAGTTGCTGTCGAGTTTTTGTTTTTTGTCGTTTTACATCAGAGAAACAGTTGCAGTTTTGTTTAGTTCTATTCAGAAAGTACATGGTTGTTCATTATTTTATATTATTTATTTAAAAAAATTAACATGGATAGTGACGAGGAACGCTTTTTTTCTCGTTTGCGGTTGGCTGTTGGTACGTGATTTAGAAAAAAAAAGAAAACGTCGTACACGCAGGTATTGGGTGAGATCCTTATTAAATAGAAGGAAATATGATGGTGGTGCAAAGATGTTATATACTTATTCTTTTTTGATAAATAACCTTGCCGCGACTGTCAACATGACAAAAACACAGCTCGCCGCAACTCAAGTTGATAACAGACGTTTACACCAAGCCGACTGAGTTGCAAAAAACGCAGCAACTCTTTGAAGTTACCGACATCGATCGGGAAACGAAAAACACAACAGCAACTGTTGAGTTGCCGAAAAAACTTCAAAAAATCTGCAAAAAGTTGCGGTTTTGTTTTTTTCAACTCGAATTGCTGTTTTGTCGGTTTGGTGTAAAACCGGCATAATGTAAAGTATTATAATATAATTTTAAACAATTAAATAACTGGTTCAATGACAACGTTTATAAGTCAATAAGGCACAAATCAAACCCAATAAAGCACAAAATCATACAAAATCTAGACGCTTGAAACACGAGAAACGTAAACAAACAATATGGCGGCAAGTATTTGGTGAATTTCAGTCTGCGCGAACCTTGTTGTATGGGTTTTGGAGTAATTTACCTTTACCCTTTGGGTCGTCAATTTTGGGACATCGTGTATATTTACAAAATTTAATAAACTTAACATACGACTTAATCGATGCGGTTGTACTTTGATGAACATTGTAAATTTATATTTGTTGACGCTAGATATCAAAAGTGAACCTGTATTTTTAAATTTTAAATATATTAAAATTTGTTAGAGATAAAATTTTTAAAAGAGTTTAAATAAATAGAATGATCAAAAACATACATTACTCCGTTTTATCCGGTTTTTGTGCTTCTTCGGCTAGCGTATTTGGAAAGTTATCTGGGCTGCCTAACTTTCAAGTAAGTAAATCCTATGCTTCCTAGTAAGTTTATCACGTGTAAATAATTATTGGTAGGTAGCTAATTAGCTTGTATTAATACAAGAACACTCTATTCAATAGAGTCTATTCATCATTCCCTATTAGGCTAAGAACACCCTATCAATAGACTCTATTGATAGGGTGTTCTTAGCCTAATAGGGAATGATGTGGTATTGTGCGACTATTGGCATCTTTCCCCCAATAGTATTGGGGTAAAGAGGAGCTTCCTCGAGTTTGCCGCACGAGCGTAGCGAGTGAGGTAACCCGCGAGTGAAACATTCCACTCGCGAGTTACCACTGGAATGTCCTCTTCTGACCAATATTCGCACACAATATTTTATTCAACAACCACGCATAATTTAAAGCCAATTTTATTTAATATTTTTCTGACCTTTGACAGCTTTTAATTGGATTTAACCTCATTTTTTTTTCAAATTTTTACTTCAAACTAACTTCAGGGGCCGAGGATGGCGCAGTGGGTTAAAGCTACAGAGCGGTAGGTAATCAATCTGCGCCACGGTACCTGGTTCGATTCCCGGTCACAGCCTTGGGTGTTGTGGTTGTTAAGAGCAAAAAAATATATAATAATGAGATGGCTAAATACTTAGTTGAGACTAAAAGCCAATAAACCTTAAAAAAAAACTAACTTCAGCCCGTGTGGAAGAAGTAAAATTTCGCCCACCGGTTAAAGTTAAGAAATGAAATATTTCCCACATGGGAGTTAATTAATTATTAATTACTATTTAATATTCTTTTAAGTTAATTCATAATTTTTGTAGGATTTGTTCATTTTAAGGATTATATTTTTTGGTTTAATGTTACTATGTAATGGAGGTGTTTGGACACTTTTTGTAAAAGCCTTACAACAAAGTGAATCCTCATTGACCGCGACTGTTACCTGTTCTGTTTCCAATTTTATATTATCGGTAAGGGAATGTTATAATAAAATTATTACCTGTTTTAACATAATAAAATCGCAACCCTATGTTTTAACCATTGATTAAGGTTTTACTTAACTGTTTAACTTTTAAGATATCAAATATGTTATACAGGGTGTCCCGAAAATAGAGTGCCACAGCTACAAAATTCCATATTCTAAGATTCTATTTATTATAATATAGTACGACAAAATTTGATTTATTTTCCCTCCCATGAAAAATTTCTATAGATTTTGAAAATAGCCTTAAAAAATTTATATATAATCAGCGTTAAAAAAAATAATTCCACTATTTTACATTTTTTACTTGAAATTTGAAAATATGTGGTAAGCAAAATCAATAACCCCTTATAATTACAAAATATAAGTTGCGAAAGTATTTCATTAAAAGTACCATAAAGTTATAATTTTTAAATTTTGAAATATATGTATATATATATATTATTTATTTTATTTTATATGTATAAATAAATAAAATAAATTTTTTGTGTTATTATTAAAAGATAATACCTAAATTAATTGCAATTGCATTAAATAAATATTGTCTCAAGATAAGATAACGGTAAATAGTGGCCATTATTTTTTATTAAATAATATATATACAGCCCGTTCAGAGTAAAACCGAATATAGGGAAACGTATCGGGCGTGGCCTCGCCTCCCTCCAACGCGCGACATAGTAGCTAAGCAAATAGCCTGCATCGCTAATGAGATTTTTTGCATTATTATATATATTATTATATATATATATATAATTCTATAGAAAAGTATAATATCTATTCCTATCCCATAATATTGTTTTTTTCGTGAACATTATAAATAAGAAACTCATTATTCACGTTGTTAGTCATTAGTGATTGGCCGATTTCAATATACACTAGCTGTGATTTAAACCAATCGCGTTTTAACTTGGTAGAATGCGACTATATAGTAGTATATTCTGTATCAAGTTTGATAAACGCCATTTTATACACGAATTTAATTTAGGCACGAGCAAGCTTGCGAGCGAGTGCTTAACTTAATGAGTGTATAGAAAAGTTTACAAACGAGGTGCACCTCGTTTGTAAACTTTTATATACTTTTATATACTTTTTCTACGACAAATACCTGGTATTATCTTAAAATGATTTAAATCAAAAATTTGTATAGAGCGCCATCTATGAAACAATAGGGGAATATGTGTGTCACCGTCAAATGTCACATTTTTATATTTTATAAACACAGATTATAAAGGTTATAAATCGAAATGTATTTCTTGAAAATTGACAGTTTTTCACAGTGAAAGTAAAAAAATGTTTATGAGGACTTTACAGTGGAGTCCGTTCCAGAATTTAAGTTATAGTTTACTACCGGCGAAATTAAAACGTCAGTACAATGTTCATATAAACTTTTCAAATATTGGCGTTGAGAAACTATTTAATACTTTTTTATTTTTGTATTGAGATAATATAATAATTTTCACATTTACATAACTGTCAACTAACTTAAAAACTAACTTTAGCCCGTGACTAAAAACCGTTTGCTAACTTCAGCCCGTGACTAAATCGCCATAAAGCCACAACTTGTCAATGTGTTTTTAAAAGGTCACTTAGTGTCATGGAAACATGTACGATAAAGGGCGTTTTAAAGGTGGGAGTAGAAAAAAACATTTAAAATTTGTAAGAAGTATTTGACAGATGTCAGATTTTATTTATTAATTTTTGAAAATCATTCACTACTATAAAAAGGTTTTTTTAATTCCCATCACGGTGTTTACAACCAATCATTTCTCTCTGTGTAATCTGCAGTTTTCAGAAAAGCGTCCGCCATTTTGTTTTTTAAAATTCCTCTTACGGATTGGTAAAGAGCGACATCCAAAATAATTATTTGAAAAATTTTAACGCATTCTATTTTTGTCCAATTTTTTGATAACCAAATGATATATCATATATATTATAAAATCAAAATGCATATATGCCTATAGGACCTAGGAATAATAGCTATTATAATAGTATAGTATAGGTATACAAATATATTTGAATTCAACTTTATAAAAAAAATTGTGTAAAATAAATAAGACAGTTGATTAAAGGAACTTGATGATTATAATATAATCTATGATCATTTCGTAATTACGCTTAAGCTTACCAAAAAACTGGAGTTTACGGGAGGTTTTCAAGGAAGTCGGGATCTTTAAGACGTCGCGACGTTTAAAAATCGGGACGTGGCAATTGGTAATTATAATTGAAGGGGTAAGAAGCAAAAGGGAACAAGTGCAAAAAAGAAAAGCGAAGTTTACTTTTAAAGTTTTTGCTATATTAAAAATTCTGGATACTTGTTTTAATATTGTTGTTTGCATTAATCATCATGCCCAACTCGTTTTTTAGAAACTACTCCACTGCTAAAATGCATCTGTACCCTTTTGCTTATTTCCCCTTCAATTATATTTTTTATACACTTCTGTTAATTTTTAAATTGAACATGGGGATGCGATTTTATTAAATCATTTTAATAAATAAATAAATAAATCATTTTAAAAGCAGGTTTGTCTGAAAAATGGACCTGAACGGTCATTGCATTGGACCTTTCATATATGAAACCTAGGTTTATATGCTTTATAATTTAATATTTTATTTTTAGGGTATAGTTGGATTTATATTATTTAATGAAGTAGTTTCCTTAGTATGGTGGGGAGGAGTTTCATTAATTATTATTGGTTTGCTATTGGTTCTTAAAGAAGATGAGAGACATTTAGGAAAAAAAGAATAAATTTTATTTAATTAAAAAAAATGTTTTTATTATTACCTATAACTTTTCGGGGTTCGGCTCATCGCCGACGAGTCATCAAGGACATTCCAAACTTACGTAGCGGGACTAACTTCTAGCCGGTGCCCCAACATCGATCCCGACTGTACAAAGAATTTATTATTTATTATACAATGCATCATTATCATTTAAAATTGGCGGCACAACAATAATATAATAATAAATTGTACCTGTATACATGTTAAGGGCACGTTAGTTACGTAATAAAACCAAACCAACCCAAACTCAACAACACAACCCAACCGACCCCGCCCCATTGGCCCCCCCCCGCCCCATTGAGCAAAAAACCCAACTAAAATGGGCAAATTTATGTTACGATAAAAATAAAACACTTTTTAACAAAGGAACAACAAATTTATGAAATAAAAAAGTAAAAAAATTTCGACAACTTCTGAGTTTCGAACCCGGGACCTCTCGCATGCAAAGCAAACGCCCTACCAACTAAGCTATCTAGCTTGACAACAAATATTATATGTTCGGGGAACAAAACCGGATTATTATTATGACGTCACGTTATAAGGCGGTTCGTGCCAACACGTGAGAAGTCGGGATCGATGTTGGGTCACCGACTAGAAGTTTCTCGTAGCGGGTACTTCCTATACATTATTATTATTATTATTATTAAATAGTTAGTATTGGCCATAATTATTGCAACAACTGTAATAAAACCTAACTCTAAAACGCCTTTATTAATCTTTATGAAATGTTGTATTAAAATACTTCAACTTATGTCTCAGTTTACGTGTTCGAGGGTTTTTCGAGAAAATATTTTTTAAGCCCTTTTTATTTAATAATATAAAACGATCGAAAAATAACTTTTAGGTAAATTTTTTTTTTAAGTAAATAAAAAATATGTATTTTTGTTAGTATACCCTGAAAATTTTGTACGAACAGTAACGAAGACACAGCGCTTCAAAGTCGGTATAAATGGCCCCTTTTTGATTATTTTGCTTAAAAGTGTTCATTTTTGTCGACTTTGAATCGCTGTGTCCTTGTTACTGTTCGTTTGATTTGTACAAAATTTTCAGGGTATACTTTTTTATTATTAAATAAAAGGGCTATAAAAATATTTCTCGAATACCCTCGAACACGTAAGCTGAGATATAAGTTGAAGTATTTCTATCCAAAATTTTAGAGTTACCTATAGATTTTTTTACAGTTGTTTATGGCCAATACTGTAAATACAACATATTTTACATTTTTGTATTAGACAAAAGTTTAAACAGTTTATGAAATGCTTTATATTTATTATTGATAAATAGAACAATTTTCTATTGTTTTTGCCGATATCTGGAGGTACCTCACTCAAGCACGGCTGTTTTGAGAAGTACTTACATAGGTTTAACAAGCGGTAAAGCTCAGAGTGTTATTACTGCGGCAAAGAAGACATGATGTTGGAAAGCAAAGAAAAATGGGACGAAATAAACAACATAATATGCACAATAATGGCAACAAAAGAGTACGATGAACGATAGCACAACTAGAGGGTTATTACGTGAAAAAAATTACAAACACGCGGTCCAAGCATTTTTCTCTTTTACAAAAAAAATGATCATCTGACAAATGAACTTCTCCAGGCCAACAAACAGACTTTTTAAAGTATTTTTTATTTGCTTTTGACCTAAAATAAGGGGATGAACTGTATGGTTGAGTTTGACAGATGATGAGTGGCGGCTGTTCAGGTACGGGCCGTACCAATGAAAATCAGGAAAAAAAAGATTTTAAGTTTTATTAATTTTGGAACCCGAAAACCCGTTATTTATTAATTTAAACCAATTAACTGGTAGGAAATTGTTGTCATAACAATAAATTAAAAAGAAATAATAAAAAATAAAACTGGGGGTAAACATGTCACTAAAATTACATTTTCTCCATGCACATCTTGACCTGTTCAAAAATCACCTGTCCACCGAATCAGAAGAGCATCAAACAATAATGGAAATGGAAAATCGTTATAGAGGAAATAGGTTTGATTCGATGTTGGCAGATTTTTGTTGGTCTATGGCAATGGAAATTTAAGCATAAAATTATAAATAAAATTTGTTAGGTATATCTTTTATGTTCATTCATTCTATTTGTTAAAAAGAATATGTTTTTAATAATTAATATAATAATAATAATAATAATTATCATAATTATTATTATTATGGTAGAAGCGAAAGAACTAAGAAATTGCACTACAACATAGTGAAAAAGGTTAATTTTTTTTATTTAGTTATTTTTTCCTTTATTTGATTGTAATTACTTTATAAAACAATATACAAAACCAATAATTATCTTTTATTTAATAATTATTTATTATTTTACGATATTTCGGGATCCAGAATTACTAAAACTTTAAATTAATTTTAAAAAACATAATCAATCTAAACATTCTGTAAACGCTATAATTCATTATTTTGATTGTGGAAACCGAAAATACATTCAGAACCCCATCATCTTAATTTTTTTTCAAAATGTGGAACGGTGTAATAAGTATAAATAAAACAAAAACGAATAAAAAATTAAAACAACTGAATTTTACGTTTTTTGGTCGATAAACATTCTCAATATTTTTACTAAATACCTATTTTAAAATGAAGTAACATTTTAAATTTAAATTTAAAAATTTAACAAAAACTTTTCAGGTTTTTAGTAATGAGTAGAGGGCTAAATTGTGTATATAGTTAATCCAGAGGCGGCGCTGGGGCATTCCAACTGTATATTTAAAAATAAAATTTGGGTGCGCTTCAGCTTTTTATGAGTTTAATATTATTTTTAGATTATTGTCTCTAAATTTTTTTGTCTATCTTGTTTAATTTAAAAAAAAATTCGTTTATTATCTCGCCCATAAAAAAATTATAGTGACAAGCGGATAAACGAATTTGTTTCCTAAAAATTAACCAAGATTGAGAAAAAATGCTGAGGACAAAAAAGATGTATTTTTAATTGCTTAATCTTACTATTAAACTCATAAAAAAGCAGTGGCGTGATCATACTTTCGTTATGAACTTTAATACCTTTATAGCTTTAAGCATAAGTTCATTTAAACTTTTCTTTTTGGTTTTGCGAGTTATATCGACTATTTAATTTTCCCAAATAAAATCTTAGACATCTTGTAGATTGTTAACTCCGGTACAATAAAATTAACTTTTTTTAAGCGTATAACAATTTTCATATTATAAAACTAATAAGAGTATATAGAAAGGTCAGGAGTCAAATTATTATACACCGCTGTAAAATATTGAAAATGCATTGAAATTACATAGGAAGAGTGGTTCCATCTATCGATTTTAGCTCGAAATGTAAATAGGTACAGAATTATTAAATGCTTAAAAAAATAGTATATACAACACGGCGGAGAAATTATATTAAATACCCCGCTTAGATCTGCAGCCTCTGCTAAATTATATTATGACCTTTTCGACATTCTAATATTGCCTTATAAAATTACAGTATTAGAATTTTAGTTTAAACTGCTTGTAAAAAATATATAAAACAATAGTACCTATATAAAAAATCGTACACCAATATTTTTATCTAAAGCAAACAATATATAATTTTAAAACATTATCAAGACCTACATACCTACCTAAACATTAAAATACAGTAAAAATGGTTCATTGGTTAGAATGTTAAAAAATAATGAATTAAAGTACAACATGCGAAGTTTTAAATGTTTAGAGATAGTGTGCCGGAAACAAACCCATTGTGTATTAAGGGGCCCCACTACATACCATTGTATAAAAATAGTTAAAATTTAGTAAATAATATTATCTAATATAAGTAAACAATATTTTTTTACTCAATATGTTATCAATATACAATAGATTATAATTAATACTTTTAAAAATATTTATCTTTCAATTATTCTTTTATTTCTTTTATTTTATTAAAATTTTGCCCCCTTAATTTTTCGTAATAAATTGCGTGCGCAACCTTATGTATTTCTGTAAGCTGATATTTAATTTAAAATCAGTTGCATAAAACATTTAGGGACAAGCAAATATTTAATTAATGACGGTTCATTTAAAAAAATTATAGTGTCTATATTTGGATTATTTTATAATGTTAGGTGAGTGACTTACTTAAATTATATTGGCTTCGTAATATTATATATTTAAAGCATACAAACTTTGTGTACGTAGGTATAAATATATTTAACATTTACGAATAGGTGTACCAACTATAAAGCATGAATATTAAAGGTAAGTTTTTGTTATAAAATCATTGTGTTTAAGAAACAATGCTATAATTAAAATAAATACTGCTATAGGGTATTTATTAAGTATATGGATTTTGTAATTGCTAAGGTTAACAGGTTTTACTTTTTAATTAATTATTTTATAATAGTTTATTACTTTTGAACTAATTTATACAGGGTATCCCGAAACTGGCGTACTAACGCTGGTTATTTTAGTGTTTTAAGACTATTTATTTATACCCATGTATAAAAGGACAGAAAATAATTTTCATAACACGTTTCAAAAATAAAAAGTTACAATTGTTTAGGTACCAAAGTTGATGATGATTTAAAGTTTAAATTTTCTGTCACAAATACAGGGCCATATTCAGAGGTGTAGGGGCCCCGGTCAATAAAAAAGTGAGAGGCCTTTCAATATCAATATAATTTTATTTTTACATTTAAAAAACGAATTTCCACCATACATACCTATTTACTATTTTTTGTAAATTTAAAGAAATCTTTATTATTTTGTAACGAGTGATAAGAAATGGGAAACAGCTGACAATTTACTTAAGTATACCTTACTTAGGTATACCTACTTGCTTTTTTAGATGCAAAATCATTAATTATTTCTTCAAAGTCCATTTGAGGAGCATCCGTGCAAAACCGGCTATATCCACTTTAATAAAATGTTGGGAAAATGGCGGTTTTCTGGACTTTACAGATAAAAGAAAAAGCAAACTTGAGTTTTGTGGGCTTTGTGGTACTTGATTTATAAGACATACTTTCGTTTCCAAAAACTTTATATTAAGGCCAAAATTTCTAAAAATGTTTTGTATAGATATAGCCGGTTTTGCTCGAAAACCGAATAAAAAACGAATAAAATGTGAAAAAAACCTTTATTATTCAAAAATATTAACAAAATAAATTTAGTGCAAACATGAAAAAACAGAACAAATTTTAGTAGTAGTATCGACATATCCAAGCCACATATAATTATTTATTGGATATAGCCGGGTTTGCTATAAAAACGTCGGTTTTGCTCCTAAAGCTACCTTTTAAATGTGATTTAAACATGGATTTAGTCGGATTTAAACAGAATTATCTTGGTTGTCGATAGAAATGTACCCAAAGATGCGAAATAAAAAAAAAACAAAAACTGAATAAAATAGATTTAGCCGGTTTTGCACGGATGCTCCTCATTTATCGAAGCCAGAGCTGGGAAAGTTACTTCTGAAAAGTATCTAGTTACTTTTATAAGATACTTTAAACAAAATAACATAGTTACCTCTGGTAACTAGATACTTTGGGTTAAAAGTTCTTTAGTTACAAGTTACTTTAAAAAGTAGGTATCTAAGATTGTATCCGAAAGTATCTAAGAAACTTTTAAGTAACTAAGATACTTTTGAGTAACTAAGATACTTTTAATTAAGAATAAAAACAATAAAATTATGAAAATTCATCAAGTTGTAGGTTGGTAATTATTTTGAATCATTCTGGAATTCCCCCAATTTTCTCTAAGAAAGTATCTAATTTACACTGAAAAGTATCTAAGTTACTTTAAAAAGTATCTTAGTTACTTTAAAAAGTATCTTAATTACTTTAAAGTATCTAAGGTACTTGAATGTATCTTAGTTACTTTACCGAGTAACTTAGATACTTTTTTAGATACAACTTACAAGATACTTTTCTAAAGTAACTTAGTTAAAGATACTTTCTGTCCAATATAAAAAGTATGTATCTAAGATAAAGTATCTTAGATACTTTAAGTACCTATCTAAGTTACTTTCAAGTATCTTTTTTTTCAAGATACTCCCAGCTCTGATCGAAGCTAATCACTATCTATACTAAGCCGGATGTGGTAGACTTTTGCATTAGCCTATTTTTAATAGTTATAAATTTAGAAAAAAAACTTTACTGCTGCAATTAGCCATCATCAACACTACATTTTCAATGTGTAATTCTAAAACTAGGGAATGCAGCATCGAAGTTATTATTAACCAGAATCCTGTAGAAAACCTTTTTTTGGTTCACTGTCGACATTGTAGTCTTTCTTGAAGGCACCTGACTACAAACTGAACCAACTCATTCCCTAGACTGATTTCTAGCTGCGATAAACTCAAATCCTCTAAATGATTCACTTAACCAAATCGATCGCAGACGTCATAAGCTTGAATACTATTACTCAGAGATGGTGAAAGTTGATCAATTACTGGAATAAAACTTCCTACTCGAAATTTTTATTTTGGTTACAGCTGGGAACCTGTAGATGATCCACTGGATTAAACCTATCATTTCTTGATCTAGAGCGTGTTTCAATATATTCGTCAGTATCTGATAATTTCCGCACTCAGTGGCGGATTTAAGAAAAAAGACCCAGGAGGCAAAGTTTTAAAGATAACTGAAAGAAATTTGCATTTGCCGCTGTCCACTGTCCGCACTGCTTCTTGTATTCCTTTCTTTTGGAGTTTACGAATAATGTAAGCTACCACTGTAGAAGAAAAAAACATTTTAAAATCTTTCAACATCGTATTAGTAGCACCGCTCCAAATGTCGTTCCAAAATCAAGCGTACAGTACAATCAAGACTTCCTATAATTTTTAAAAGTCTAGTATCTTTGATTTTGACGTCTTTCTGTTCTTGGTCCTGCGATATGTCAAAAAAGTTTTTTAAATTTTATTGTTACCATGAACAATAGCTTCTGTTGGATCAGCGCGACAAGATTTTATTGTTATAAATATTTTTAATCCAAGGTTTGTGGAGGCCCTCAAAAGGCCCACTTTGATATTTGAATACAAATAAGTTATGTACGAGGTGTGTTCAGAAAATATCGGGAATTTTAGTTTTTTGAAACAAATATTTATTTATTCGTCTACATTAATGTTGTCGCCTTCAAAATAGTCCCCATTGGATATTATGCACATGTGCCAGCTCTTCTTCCAATACTCGAAACACTTCTAAAACTCGATCTTTGGGATAGCCTTTAGTTCTTTCAGCGATGCGCTTTTAATGTCATCTATGCTTGCAAAACGACGGTCCTTTAAGGTTCTCTTTATTTTTGGGAACAGGAAAAAGTCAGACAGAGGCATGTCTGGCGAATATGGAGGCTGGGGCATCATTAAAGTATTGTTTTTGGCCAAAAATTTTGTTTAAAATTTAACAATTTTAGAACAAGTTTTGCAACCGCGCGTTTCGTACCTAAAACATTCGAAAAAATTTCATGGGATGAGTCAATCGATATACCAACATCATCAGCGACTTCTCTGATGGTTTATAACCATTTCTTCCACTTTTTCCATGTTTTTATCGGTTGTTAATGTGCTTGTGCGTTCGGAGCGTTCGTCATCTTCAACGTCTTCACGGCCATCTTGGAAACTCTAGTACCACTTGTAAACTCTTGTTTTACTTATAGCAGACTCACTATAGGCCTTTGTTAACATTTCACAGAATTTATTTCATTTTTTAAGCAAAATTGGATACAAATTCTTTGATCCATTTCTTTTAACGAACGAAAAATCGCCGAGCTCATAAAACACGTCTAACCTTAGCGGCTACCACAGACAAAGTAAACAATGAAAACAGCTAAACTTTGTATCATACTTCGGAGCATGTATACCAACATAATAAAGAAAATTTTATGACAACCGGACCCTCCGAACCCTCAAAATTTAACAATTCCCGTTATTTTCTGAACACACCTCGTATCTATAATTTTAACGCTAATTTCGTCTTATTTTCTAAAAATAATACAATTTACATATGTGTTCTAAATTAAGACTTTTATACAGGGTGGAAATAACGTTAATATGTTTCGGGGGGATTCTACACGTAAAACTGTTTCGCAAAATCAGGTTTTTAATAATTATTTCAGAAACGGTTGGTGTTAAAGTAGTGAAGTATTTTTTGGGCAAGAAATCAGATGATTTCCGATTTGACATCACCAGATGGTGATGTCAAATCAGACAAATGATGACTAAAGGCGTGCGAAACAGGGGCTACTAGAGAAAAAAATTTTGTGTGCGGGTGCAGGCTAACTTGCCTACTATTTCGCTTGATATTTTTTTGTAGCAAGATATTTTTAATACCGTTTTTTTTCGAAAACGTTTGGCTCATCATCACTTTACAAGAAATGGCCCACATGCATTTCATGAACGGTTCAGTGCTCTGATATTCGAAACCGAGCCGACATGCTTTCTCTGTCTTGCCTGATCTGCTCGCGCCGCGGCGTATGCTATACGGGATTTAGGTAGTTGAATCAAGTATCGGTGCATTTTTCGTTTTTGCGTTCGAAAATTTGTTTCCAGTTATATGTATGATGTATTATTCCCGCGCGCATTTCAGGACTCTTGGATAAAAATTCATATTTCTACAACCGTTGAAGTTAGCGACTTAATTTTTTTTTCTTAAAACTTTGTACGTTTGACTCGATATATATACCTATATATATATATACAGGGTGTCCCAGAACTCGCGCCAGAGAGAAAAAGGGGGCGTGCCGATAGCAATGGAGATGCCAAATTTAAAAATAAAAAATTTCTAGGTAATAGTGTAATCGAATGAGAGCAAAAAAGCGGCAGCCAATACCGAGAGATCTCGCCTAGGTTTAACGTAGGAGCTTTAAAAATTGCTAGGAGACGATAGAACATTGTTGTCTTAAAAACATTTAAAAATCTTTTGGCCAACTGTATTTACTAAGTTCTCAAAAGCTTTCAAAAAATGAGGTTATTAATGTATGACTGATACTTCAGAACGCCAATGTTTTAAAGTAAAAAATCAAACCAGTTGTACTTTATTTACCTTTTTTTGGGCCCACTCTCCCCATAAATAGTTATCATCAAAGATAATACACCCCATAGATTGGAAACTCTCCCACCACTGCCCTCTAGTTCTACAATACCTGAACTATATCTATTTTTAAATTGCAGACATCTGTACAAACGCTATTTGCAAATGTCAATGTCAATCATAATTATTGATGTCGATCATAATTTTTGAATTATTAAATACATTTTTGCGCCTTAA